TTCAGCGGTACGAGGATGAACAATTTGGTCGGGGTATTGCACACGCTCGCTACGGATCACTAAGCGATTCGCTTCGCCGCGGTGAGCTCAAGTATATACCCAATGGCGAGGTACGCGAATCGCACTGGGTACAGAACGGAGGAGGACGCAACATGCACAAAAGCTATTCGACGCGTGGGTGCTACCCCTATTAAGTCCTTCTGTCAATTATTTAGTTAAATGAACAAAATTATACATACATGACCCCTACATAGTACTTTACTTTATTTAGGTGATGTATTTGGTGGAGGCGATCACTCCCTTTCGTCATATCGACGCAGTAGCCAACAGATGTCACCATTCATTGAGTTCCCACCTTCTTTACCGAGACGGTAGGTAACTTCCTGGTTTCCTCCGATAATTCGTCAGCCACTTCCTTTATGTTTCTTTTTCTCATTTATAGTTCGGATCGTGATTATCGGCCTGTGAGCAAAAGCCGCAGCTACGCGGACTGGGACGACATGGGACGAGCTGGTTTTGGCAGAGAAGTCAGACGGTGAGCACTATTTGGTGGTATATGGCAAGCTTCAAACAAATGATTCACGTTTAACGATTTGAATCGTGAAAAAGGAATGCACCTAGTCTAAAAGCTGGATATAAACAACGATTACCCGGGGATACATTCATTGTTAGGTTATTCTGCATGTTCTATGATTACAGCGGTTTGGTAGTTGGTAATTACGGACAATTACAAATCACTAGCTTGATGCTAGGGCAGGTCGTACAAATTCCTAATCGGTGAGGGAGACTATGAACAGAACAAAGCATGAGTTCAAAGTCGAGAAATCGAAGACTGGCTGAAGCGATTTCGAAAGAAAAAAAAGTTACAAACTCAAAACTCACTCAAGTACTCTTCTTCAGCTACGGTCACGACGATGACATGTCCCGCCTTGAGGCCGAGTTTCGCGATTCACTGCTGATGCCACTTCCAAATGGAAACATGTACGTTCAATTCTGAAACAGCCATCATTCTTTTCTTCATATAACATCATCGTAAGCATTCAGGCATGAAATGGATCACCGAACGGAAGCGATTCCTGGCGGATATGAGACATTCCACAGGGACAATCGTGTCAATGCTGGTAGACGAGTAGGCAAAGACGGGCTTCCTGTAGATTATAAGTAAGTTAATGAAGTAGTTTGAATTCCTTAAAGTGAAACATTCAAGTTTGGAAAGGAGATGTGAAACTGATGAGACTAAGAAACTAAAGATTATCCAAAATATCATAATACTGCAATATTCTCTGCATCACCCGCCTCTGGTCCTGTTCATGATCGATTTGGTCGGAGGCGCATCAGTCGTGTCTCCGTTGTCCCTGTCGCCAGCCATTGGCTGCTTTCAGAGTCCGCCGGTCGACCCCGCGAGCGGCGGCGGCGCTAGTCACTTGCTGACAACACTGGCATGTGATCCATCGGCGTCCAGAGTTTTCAACAAATGGCTAGCGCCGGCGGACTCTGAAAGCAGCCATTGCAGTCCAGTTTAAACCCCTCTCTGGAAGGGCACAAACGAATATTCCTTTCGTCAACACCTTCATGTAGAAGTCTGACCATTGCGGTGGCGGTCGTTCTGATGTTGTTTGATGTCTCGAGGAATCCAATCAGTAATCATCCTGGTCCAATAGCTATGAGAAAGTCACGTGACATTCCGGAGCTCATCTTCCTCACAAATCACTTATTGCTTTCAAATTCTCCCTGTGCTGACTATATCCTTTTGCCCATCTCGAGAGAGCAGTTTTGGTAGGAATAACAATGCCAAGTTCCCATTGATAAAATGCGACTTCGAATTGTTTTCGTTCATGGACATCAACCAGGCCCTACTCAAGACACAAGATTTAGAAAAGACAAACTTACGTTAAATCTACTAATAAATTGAATAAATAAACAATAAATAAATCTCAGCATGACTATAGGGCGTCTCGCATTGGTACAGGAAAACCTTCATTAAATTTCGACTTGCAATTCCTATTTCGTTCCCGGATCGTACCTTAAGTTTTACAAAAAAGGTTACTAATGAGCCCATAAATTATTCAGACGAAACAAACGGTGGCAACAAGATTGGGAATGGTACATCTACAATTATACCCCTAAAACGACAACCAAAGTTCTCTCAAATTGATTCAAAAACAAAAAAAAAGATCAGTAAATATGATATGAGTGTTTCAGTGAGGCAACTCAAGAGTACAGCTACAAACGTGAGCAAGAGTTGGATCGTAGGCGCTGAATAAGGCGCCCACATGGGGATTCGTGCGCGGCCAAACCATGAGAACAGACCTCTGTTTTGTTTCCAGACGGTGATTTGACTCCTTCTGCTATTCATTTGCTGCATTTACAATGTTTAGTGTTTATCCAGCCATTTGTCAACATTCAGTTTCGTAGAGTGCTAGAGACGCACGTTCATATCGTTTTCATTCATTCGTCATTTTCGTTTTATTTTTCCATTTCTTCATATAACCAAAATACGTCTCTATGCGTGCCAGAAAGATATGTTTTCACTTACCAACATGTATGTCTTGCTTCATTCTACTTACACAGCACTCAGAAGAGTTGAATTGCTCAGCCTATCTGCCTTTGCCCATTTAATCCGATGAGTTTACAAAGAATAAAGAGCGTATTTCAAACAAATAATCTTCAAACGTGCCTTTCTCAACACATCCAGGTGAGAAATCGTCTGAAAGAGTGAACCTTCGAAATATATTTATAAGTAAACATTTCTCGATGCGTGCGTCGGTCATATCCACCAACATTCTCATGGAATGCTAATGCAAAGTTTTCAAACGACACAATTGAGTAGAAGTATTGAAAAAAGGTGACGTTCATGATAAACTCCCTACAAAGACAATCTGAGCATCGAACTTTCTACTGCGATGCGAAGTGGTAGCGTTTTCGACCATTAGATCGCTTCCTACAAAGGGAAGGTTTCGAACCTGGAATAGTCGAAAGCGTAGCGGTCGAAGGATGTTAACGACGGCAACAAGTGATTACGAAGGAGCCCAATTCTTGACTATAAACTTGTACCGAGCACTGTAAAGAAACCATGATAATTACAATAAATTCTTTAAAAGCAGTCTTTTCTAAAGGCGATACTGTCGACTGTATAAACTAATTGTTCAAGGATTCGGTCGCTGCTCTGAAATGCTTCTCTTGAGCAATTTTATTGACGAAGTGGCTAGAAATTTATCAACAACATATCTAACCTTTAGATTCATAGTATAGTATCATACCTTCACTCTAGATTAGAGTACCCTCGACCACTCGTAGTGAAAGAGGAAAAAATAGACATAACAGCCCGTTCCATACAGCACTTC